ATTCCACAGCCACAGAATCGCAGAATGTGCAGGTCCTGCCATTAGTCTTACAGATGTCATGGATCTTTAATGCTCTTGCTGGAGGCGGTGAGGTGAAGGGAGGGGGACAATGACAAGATCTCAGTTTTTAAGGTCTTGCACAAAAACATGCACACAGGAAAAGTGCACGGTAGGCAGTTTCTCTGCCTGAAAGACAACACTGAATTTTACTGTTACAGACATAAGGCACATAGACCGCTAGGCTATCTGCTCCAGCTGTAATGATGTGTGTTTTTTAAAGAGGAGGTGAACAGAGCAGTCCACCTCATTGGTAGTAACGATCTGATTTACTGGGTCGTTCTGACAGCTTTGAATATAACCAAAACTCTTCTTTAGGTTGCTTTTGTTGCCTCGCTCATCGCTGGTATTCAGGTCATAGTTTCACACGAGCAACTCCTTCAGGTCCACTATCTGTGCAATAAGCATCATTCATCAGATGTCTTGAATGATTTATTTCCTTGGCTGCACAAGAAGCATTGGTGCTACAGGCTAGCAAAAATGATTGTTGGATTGAGCATAATGCCCCTTGATAATAACTCAATGACGGATACAAACCAGCACCATTCATAAAGGTGATGGCAGAACACAAACCATGTCATTAAAATACCCAGGTCCAGAGGAACCAGGCAGAGACAAGGAGGAAATGAATCCCACAAATCTGACCACGCCTGCCTTTTGGGAACATTCAGCTCCAGATTCAAACTTGAGGCTTGAGCTGAAGCAAACACCTCTGAGCTTTGAGGAAATTCAGAGCTGGATCCAGATTTATGGCTTGGCTCTCTCTCTAGAATTGAGCAGGCTGAACAGTGAGATTGTTTTATGGAGAATGTTCTCTGTGCATAAACAGAGGAACCTACTCATAGTGAGTTCAGATCTAGCTCAATTTATAGAGAAGTGGCAGGGGAGGAGCCCCAGGTTGTTCCACTGAAGAGTGCAGATCCCGTTGTAATGACCCTCCAGTTAGTGTGAAGCCGCTGAGTCAAAAAAAAAAAACCCAACCCACCAAAAAGCCCTTCACTATATCTGAGGCTCCAAGTCTAAAATGTTTTATTTATTTTCTTTAGAATATGCTACTGAGTTTTGGTTTTAGACGTGCAATGATCCCAACGAACACAGACAGTGAGAGACTTAATGGATCTGAAAAACCCTGGTGAAATACAGTAATTATTTACCACAGGTTTTTTTTTCTTTTCCACCCAAAGAGATATTTATACTATGGGCTGAGTATCTTTCCCGTAACTCATTTTTATTCTGTTCCCTCCACTCCCCCACCACTTTTTCCCCCTTCTTCTTCTGGGTCTTGTAGGTAACTCCACAGGTTTGGGATTTGGCTGGATAACAAGCAAAGAGTCTTCTTCAAAGGATCAAACAGATTCGGAGCAATTTGGCTGACTTCAAAGGCTTGGCAGCATGTCAAGTGGTGTTGAGAATGCCAGTCAGTGTGTGTAAGCAGAGCAGGGGTTGCACATGAGCTGACATACTGTAACATGAGGCAGGAGGCAAGGGTGGGTATGCCGCTCTTTGTACATCAAGCTGAGTAGGATTAAGATATAATTGACAGAACATTGCCACTTAAACGTTTTATCCACTTTTAAGATGTTCAGCAGATGAACAATGGGGCAGCAATTCTTTCATATTTGACCATGGCTTTTCTCTCCCCCCCCCCCCCCCGCCCGCCCTTCCTTACTCTCTAAATGGTTTTTGATTGTGCCAAAGGGATTTTCTGGTTATTTGGTAAAAAAAGTTGCAAGATTCCATTTCCAAGTATATTGATATTTACAGAAGAAAATCAATGCTGCTGCTTAATTTATTTGATTATTATTCAGAAAGGAGCCAGTTTGTCTTCTTAGAATATCAGGGTTGGAAGGGATCTCAGGAGGTCATCTCGTCCAACCCCCTGCTCAAAGCAGGACCAATCCCCAATTTTTGCCCCAGATCCCTAAATGGCCCCCTCAAGCTCACAACCCTGGGCTTAGCAAGCCAATGCTCAAACCACTGAGCTATCCCTCCCCCTGTCTTCTTCTTCTTTTCTTTTACACTCACTGCATTCAATTTTCAAAGGTCGCAAAGGTACATTTGCACGATGCAGTGCGTTCGTTGTTTCCTACCATTCATTCGGGGGGAGTCTGCGCAGAATGGGCTGCTGATCATTCAAGCTGAGGAGGACTCTGTGTTGTATGTTTTCACTGAGGGGCAGAGGGGTTAGTCAATGTTGCCTTTAAGGGCCTTAGGCAATTCCATTTCACGCTGCTTCCAGAAGGGTTGGGTTTGAGCTGGCCACAGCCCTTGTGAAAGCCTGCTGTGTTCTCAGTGACAGGAGTGGGGGCAGCTTCAGTGAGCTGCTGGAGTTCCAAGGCAGCAGTGCAGTGGGTTGTAAGTTTTCTTTTCCCTCCTAAGTGACAGCTGCACGTACTTCTGGGGAAACTTTGCTGAGAGAACCAGAGACGGAACAGAAAAATATGTTTGGGGCGAGTGGAGGACGGACGGACGCGCTGCGTGGCATCTCAGGCATTCTCCTTGGATGCTGTTTAAGATGCAGCAGCAAATGAGAGCAATGCACGTGCAAGCATAAAACTCCTGGTGCTAAAAAGACACACCGTTTTCCAACGTGGCAGTAATTGGGCGAGTGCCAAGGGGGTTAAATATATGTTGTTGTTCTTTAAAATCTCTGCCAGAGCTCACTGTACTGTTTAAGCATTATCCACCTTGCTAAACAGCTGCAAAGACTAGATCCATTATTTCTAAGAGTTTCTGGACATGCTTGTGTATGTGCTGAGTTATTTCCCCTGGACTCTGCAGTTGAGATTAGAACAAGGCTTTCCTCACTTCTAGCCTCCAGATCTTTTCAGGTGGGTTTCAGGATTTGTACAATTGAACCCTTAGTCTCTCCCATACGCTTACCTTAGGGTCACATATTTCTCTTGGGCTGCATGTGGAATTTACACTCATATCACTGATGTTGGTGCACAGTGACTGAGGCAACTCTCTGATTGCGTAGCCTTTAATTATGGGAACAGTCCTGAGATGAAGAGGAGAAACCGCCCACCAGCATGGAAGGGGTTAAAGAGAGCCTTTGTGCCCAGCTGGCCCTGCCCCATTATACCTGCAGCCAGTGCCAGGCCTGGAGGGGGAAGAAAAGGAGAGAACCTGACTCAGTTTGGGGCTAACTGGCGAAGAGGCAGGAACTCGCTGCCTACCTACCTGAGGGGAAGGGTCACTAGCCTGCCAGCCAAGGCAGCCACCAGGAAATAATACCATCTCCTTGGCTGAGGAGACTGGAAGAGACTTAGGAGCAGCAGCCCTAAGAAGTAACTGGGTGACTGAAGCACGGAGACCTTGTGTGGTTCCGGCCCCGCAAAATTTAGGGCTGCCCTGTCCAGAGGAGCCTGAGACTGTGGCAGGGATCTGCCCAAGGTTCACAAGGGAGTGCTACTAGAGATAAGCCACCCTCGTGACTTGGACTGTAGGGGCCATGCCCCACAATGAAGGGACAGCGGTAAGAAGTAACCCAGAGGAGTGAATTTAGGGCTTGTCTACACTTACATTTTATAGCGCTCTAACTTGCTGGCTCCGGGGTGTGCGCAGCAAGTCTGAGTGCTTTAGAGCGCTAGTGTAGACAGCACTCGGAGCTAATCCTCTCGTGGAGGCGGATTACCAGGCGTGCGACCACACTTACACTTCAAAGCGCTGCCGTGGGAGCGCTCCCACAACAGCGCTTTGAAGTTTCCATGGTGTAGCCAGGCCCTTAGACTCCTGGGTGGGAGGTGTATTCAGGGGTTGACTCACACAGGGCCCTGGGCTGGGACCCAAGGAAAGGGCGGGTTTGGGTCCCTCAACCCAACTGCCTTAAAGACTGAGGCACCTTGACCAGCGAAGCAAAGGGCCGGCAGTCAAGCATTCCAACCAGTAGGCCACCCAGCCCTCCAAGCTCCCTGTTAGAAGCCCAACTGACTTAATTTCCAGCACGTCTGAAAATAAGGCCACTTAAGTAGGTGCCAAAATTGGGATCTCCATCCATCCCAGGTCTGAAAATTCTGGCCTGAGTGACTTGTCTGGGATAAGTTGTGGTATAGTTAATGAGATGTCATCACTTTGCCCAGAAAAAAGGGTTCTAATCCTGGTTCTGACAGTGACGTGTGATTTGACCTTGGGTAATTCTCTGAACCTCTGTTTCCTCATTTGTAAAATGGGGACAAGAATATTTACTTCCTCCTACCCTTTGTCTTGTCCATTTGGACTGGGAAGGGGCTCTCCTACTGTTTATCTGTGTGGCACCTAGCACAATAGGACACAGATCTCAGCTGGGGACTCGAGGTGCTATTGTAATAGAAATGATGATGGGGGACAGGACTAGATGGACCATAAATTTAGTCCAATTCATTCCAGTGCTCTTAGTTTTTTTTTTTTTTTTTTAAAATAGCATGTCTACTCAACATTGTTGCCTTCCTAACCAAAGCTTTCCATTCAGCGCTCTCCCAGGTTCATTTGATCCCAATAAGTGAGCTTGCTCTCCTGATCGTTTATGGAAACTGCAAAGTAAAACTGTTGCCAGAATTCCACTCCTTGCGCTCCACACGACTGATCACATAAGTCTCTCCCACCTCCCGGGTTTAATTAGCTGTAATTTTGATGTATATAATTATTTGCATGGAGGGTAGAATGGATCAGCTCCTCCTAGGGAACGGTGACCAGTAAATATAAACAAAAGGGCTTTTGTCGGCTATTAATGGAAACATTGATTAATCTCCTATCATGTTAGTAGCCTACTGAAAAGCTCATAAAGCAGCAAGCAAAATTGTTCATTAAACTGGCCAGGCTGCTAGCACCAGGAAGTGAGTGCAAAATGCACTTTAAGTGCCTTGTGGCAGCACAGTGCCTCCCAAAGGCAATGCAACCTCCTATCAAAGGCAGCCATGTAGGAGGAGACGTTTCTAAGAGCTTCTCTCTCCCTTTCTTTGCAGATGATGCCAGCTCAGGAAAGGACAGCCCAGCGTCTGAAGGCTCCAATGGTGAATACGAAGATCATTCTGGGAAGCAGTGGGGTAAGGGACAGATTTTTTATTTTTTATTTTTTTTGGCTTCCCACACATCCCTGTTCTGTACTATTCATCGAAGTCCACCTTGATGTCACATTGCACTGAAGGAATGGAAAAGGCAGCGTGAAAGGAATTCAGTGATCAGATCGATTTGTATCTGTGGATGGTCAAATGTCAAATTGAATCTCGTCTGAATGCATCAGTCTGAACTGATCCCTTCCTTTATTAAGTGTCCACCTGCCCCAGGAAATGTAGCTGGTGATCCACACTTGAGCGTCTGCTATATCCTAGCATTGTGCTCTCTTGTACTTGTTTCCAGGAGCAGTGGCTTTCCTTTGCATGGGTAGGCCTAGTACGGCTGGGCATAAATTCTCCATAAAAAACATATTGAAATTTATAGTGGGATTTACAAAAGCATTGAGTGCCGGCCTACCTCTGCTCCCATGGAAGTCAAATGGGAGATCTGGCTTCAACAGGAGCAAAGTTAGGGCAAATCTGAGCACTTCTGAAAATCACCAAGTCGGGCTAGAGTACAAAGCCCTCAAGTGAAGATGCAGTTTATTGGCAAAAGAACTCCTTCAGCCAGTATACAGTTAAACCATCTCTCTGATTGATGGAAGGTGTACTGGCAAGAGGACTTTTTTTTGCCTGTATAAGCTGTGTCTACGCAGTGATTTTTGCCAGCATAGCTATGTTGGTTGGGCGAGGGGGAGGTTCATTTAGGTGTTTTGTTCATCTTGTCATAAGCTAAAACCAGCTCCGAAACAAGGCTCTGAACTGCTCCAAGGTTTGAGAGTGTCCTGACCCAGGGTTTGGTTCAAGCCATTCTCCACATGCTCTTTGTGGAGAAACAGAACAACTTTTGGGCACTACTGGCATGGGCAGGAATTTGAACTGATGACCCAGATGTGTCAGGGCCAGATCTCATTTTTGCTTTTATGACCCAGCTACAGCTCATCCCTTTTTTAAATTTTTTTAGTTTGATTGATGATTTGTCACCATGTTCCTAAACCTATTTCTGAGAGATTTCATCCAGTCTAAAGAGCCTTATTCAAGAATTTACCCTTGCCCAAACAGGGCAGATCTAAGCTGTCATCAAAATAGGAAATTCCAAATATAATAATGTAACAAATGCATGACTAGCAACTTCAGGAAAGCCACCATGTTGTGAAATATGGCCAGCAGGTAACCTCATGGCAACAGTGAGGCTGGAACTCATTCTGTTTCAAAGCTCCTACCGCCGAGCTAAGGATAATCCCCTCCAGCTGTTGGCAGTAGAGGGTATATGATACCATCGTTTTGTAGTTCCAGTTCTTACCAGAGGGCAGTGACGCACATAAACATAATGCACATAAAGTTAATTACATTATTATGTGGACCATGCTAGCATCTTTCGCACAGGACTGCAGACAGGGTCCAGGACCCAGTGCTTGTTCTGTCCTGGGAAGCTGGTGAAGAGGGATGTAATTCTGAGAGAAGATGGCAGATTTTTATAGAGAAAGGATGGAAGATTCAGCTATTCCACACTTCTAGAAATCTCACAGGACAGATTCTGCACATATCACATGAAAAAAGGCAAACACAGACCTGTCTTTAGACCTCATTCCCATAAGGGGCATGAGCCAGAAGTTGAGCTTTGTGGCAGAAGTGCCCTCTAAAGGTAATTGTGGACAATCATGATAAATTGGACATTTCTGCAACCACTGCATTAACTCTATCTGTTAAGGGGATGCAGCAGGCACCTCTGAGACTTATCCATCCATCTGTGACATATTCCTCAAGGAAAGGAATCTGTTAAATTGCTTCCTACCAAGTTCTTGCTTGATGTTTTGCCATTAATTATTTAATTTTAATTACACCGAATAAATCTTCATAATAAACAGCGTTAGAGCAGGAGACCTGCACACACTGTCCCTTTGACTCAGTCAACTTGTGTTTCCCTCACGCTTGCATATGGCATAATTTATACTGTAGCAAAGTGCAGCTCTTGGAGTTTACAAAGCAAACTCCTAAAGGTGTGTGGGAGAACAGTCATGCAAAGTCTGAATAACATAGAGGCACTCTGTAATGGGGTCCTCTGGCTCTAAAGGCCCTGCCCCCAACCCTTGGAGAGGAGCTACTGGACCCGGGACTCAACGATTGACGAGGAACAACTAAGGAATAACAGGGTTGGGAGTGGGGATCATAGGTTCAAAACTAGGGATTCAGAGGTGGACACCGAGCAGAGAACCCCGCATAGCACCCACTACTCCTCAGAGCTGTCTAGGGAGCCAGTGGACGCCGCCCAGAGGAACTCTGCCCGGATACGTGAGACAAGGGAGGAATGGAAATAGGCCTCACAGTCGCAGAGCACCTCCCTGTCCAGCATCCTCCTTCTGGTATTGTAGATGGCCACTTTGGCCAGTGCCAGGAGGAGGTTGATGAGGAGGTCTCGCGTCTTTGTGGGGCCACAAACAGTGTGTGCCTATATGAAGAGGTGTGGGGAAAAGTGCAGCCAGACCTCAACAAGAGGTTCTGGAGGAGCCGGAAAAGGGGCTGCAACCTGGTGCATTCCAGATAGGTGTGCGCCAGGGTCTCCCTCACATTGCAAAAGGGTCCTCTCGCAGTTCAGCAAGCAAACCTTCAGTAGATGATACAGATTTTGGAACGGCCATTTAGTAAATGCAAACTCACAGCTCTCTCGGCCTCTCACTCCCTCAAGCTCACTCTTTCTTCTCTGTGTGTGCGTCTCTCTCTTTCCTTTTGTCAACTGGCCTCTCTGAACTTGCCCAATTCAAGCTTTTGTCAAGGAAACCTTTCAGGACTGTGTAAATGGGATCTGGTTTCAGTGTATCACACACAGGATGAAGCAGCTTTTGAGGCCACAGTAATCACTTAACCTTCTAAAAGAAAAAGGGGAAAAAAGCCTGAAAAAGTATTATTTTACCTGTAGATTGCCATGTCTAAGAGAGGGATTGTCAGAGGGGTGAACACAGGACTCCAAACAAAAGTTCTCGAGGGATGAGATAGGAGTGAAAGCAAACTGAGCTGTTGTTGACCTGACTGTAGTGAGGAAAATGCCGACCCTGTTTTACAATATTGTCCCTGTGCAGGAACTAGGTGGGAAAACAAACCCTATAGAAATATTTTTATGCAAGCAGAGGGCAGATATGGGCAGTTACACATGAAGTTCCAAGATTAAAGTCAGTGATGTGACCCATCGGTCAGTACAAAAGATATTAGTGAATGTGCCTATTCTGGAGCTGCACTGTGAAATGCTAATGCTAGTGTAGAAATCCCATCGAGTGAAAATCTACCCTTACATGGGCTTCAGTTCATGTGCATGGAGTAAATTATTGCCTTGTTAAAAGATAACCAGTTAGACCCATTTCACTGCTGGATGATGACCACTTCTGTGTCTCATAGCCTGACTCTCCACACCCATAATGAAAGCACCCTGTGGCCCTATTGGCATTTGTCTCCAGGATGGCAGCTAAACCCCATGGTTTCGAGTGCTCCCAGAGCGTGGTGCTGAACAGGTTAATTATCTCTCTGGGAGCATGACTGTTTTTACTGGATAGGAGGCCTCTGGTTTCAGGAGATGCTCGAGGGAATACCCAGCAATTTACACACGGAAACCGATGGGATGGGCTAGCACGTGACACTAGCTGCCCCAGCTGTCGCTGGTAGTACATTCAGTGCAGGAGTTGCTCCGGTTCATTAGGTTACATATGAAAGCCCCTGCGTGGAGAGTGAAGCATTTCTGCACCAGGGTTTGAAATAACATGACATGGCGAAGATCCAGAAGGACAGCCGTGGGTGAGGGTGGGGGGTAAGGCGGGGGCTGGCTGCTCATACAAGAAAGGGCCTTGAAGAGAAGAAGCGCCATGGGCAGCCTCCTTCCCAGACAGAGTGGCTGGGCCTGAGGCCAGTGCGTGTGACACACACTCAGATCTGTGAGGGACCCGGCTTCTTTTCCTCAAGTGTGTGAGGCCTGCGCGCCAACATCCTCACGCCCAGGGAGCTGCCCGCCAGCCTCTCCCACTCCTGAGTAGTGAGGGGACGGAGCAGGAGTGGCACAGCAGCCATAAACCAGCCTCCAACAGAGCTCGGGCTGTAATTTTTGCCACCGTTGTGAAGCCACAAAAAGCACTAGAGTGAGCAGCTCATTCATAATGAGCCAGGTTGTACGTGGAGGTGGGGAGTTTCTCCCTTCATATACCGAGAACAATTGCAGTGCTTGTGCTCTCCTGAGCACAGGGACTGCTCCTGGCCTGTGCCCCTACGGACACCTCATGGACCAGGGCCCCACCACACCTGTGCACTGGAGAACAGAGCTGGCTGGATGCACGGTCAGGGATGTTAGGGGGCTTATTCCTTCACCCACTTACTTCCCTGGTCCTTCTCGCATGAACAGAGAGCAACAATACCCAAAGTCCAAAAGTGCAAACAATTCGATGTTTATTGGGGTGAACTTCCAGCAAGCATGATTCCAGTTTCCTTCCTTAGTGTCCCCCTTCCCAGCTCTGATACCACAGAGCCTTACCTGTGACCCTGTTCCCATTTCCCCCCCTTTGCAAAACATGATTCCAATTTCCCCACCCCCATTCTGTTCCCATTCCCTCCCTTAGCAAAACATGATTCCAATTCCCCACCCCCATTCCCTGTTCCCATTTCCCCCACCCACGCACCCACTTCCTGATTGACTGCAGACTATATAGTAAAACTTGAGTTCTGCTTAGCTATACCTTAACCAATCATTTTCCTGAAATTTAACTAACCAATCCTAACATATTGGAACATGATTATGTAACCAATTATATCCCACCACCTTAATTAGTTTACACCCAGCAAAATTAATTATACAGCAGACAGAAACACTCACAGAACCAGACAGAGACCATGTAAATAAACAATAGCAAAGTGGGAACTATAATGACAAAACAATACAGAAGTGAGGATTTCACATCCCAGCAATTGATAAGTGAGTTCTTGCCAGACAGGATGCTATCGAACTAAGTTTCCTTTTACATCTTCTAGGCACTTCCCTTTCTCTGGAGGCGATAGGCATTATCAGGACAAGATTGTATTCCTAACAGCCCAATAGCACCTTATTTCAATGTGACTAGGTTGGAATGTGAGGAGGTGACCGGTCACTTCCCAGCTTATGGCTGCCTCTGCAGCTTAGCCAAAGGCCTTAGCCTAAGAACAAGGCCTCAGACTGTCACAGTAAGAGAAGGCCCTTACATTGGCAGACAGTGATTTTGATTCTTTCTTTTATACCTCTATAACTAGCTAAGTGATAAGAATATACCTAAATTCTTAGAGTATAGGCCTTTACAGACAGGCCTGATTATCTATATCCTAACAGGAGAGCCTGCTGAGCCCCCTTAGGAGGTGTCGTGAGGCTCTCCCTGTGCACTGGAGAACAGAGCTGGCTGGATGCACGGTCGGGGAGCCTGCTGCACCCCCTGAGGAGGTGTTGTGAGACTCTCCCTGTGCACTGGGGAGCTCAGAGAGCACCTCAAGCACAGCTTTCCTGGCATTCCCACGGCTGTTCTGCTGCAGTGACACACTCCGGTGGCTAATCGGTGTACCCTGCCCCAGCGTGTCATAGAGAAGGCCAGTCACATCCATCTATTCAATATTTGCACGGTTCTTTACAGATAGAATTAAAGATGCAGCTCCTGCGTCAAGGCCCTTACACGCTAGGTGAGACACATCATGACAGGGTGCCAGGAGAGATGGCAGCGGCCGAGCAAGTCACAGGAAGGAAGGGAAGGGGTGTTACATGAAGGAAGGATATAAGGTTGCGCTCAAGGCAAGGCACGCAGCTTGTCAGCTCCCTTTGGGGCTGGGAGGAAGAGCTATTAATTTAGATTTCATTAGGCTGGTGTGGGAGGGTGGGTCACTGGAGACATGGAGGAAGGAAGGGGGCTTGGAGGAGGGTGTTTGAAGGAGGAAAGGATCACAGAGGATACATCTGGCACAGGAGACAGAAAGCGAGAAAGTGCAAGTGGGGCTTTGCTCTAGGCCTGAGTGAGAGATTTAGGGGAAGCAAGACACAAGATGTAACCAGGGCAGAGCTGTGTAGAGGAATAGTGAGGGAAAGGAGTTTGAGTCTGACAGGGAGGACTGACTGGAATCTTGAGATGGGACTGGCATGGTCAAAGTAGTGAGAGAGGAAGGTGAGTTTGGCTGGAGTGTTTTGGATAGACTGGAGGATTGCCAGGTGGGAGTTAGGTAGGCTGAAGAGGAAGAAGTGGAAGTAGGCTTGGCAGGAGATTGCGCTAAGAAATGCCCCGGGTGTAGTATTGCATAACGAGAGTAATTGTGGGGGATTTATGCCGTCTTCTGAATTGTTCATTACAGGCCGCTCTTAGACAAGGTTCTGGCTTTGAAACTGCCATATTCCACTGTAGCAATTTTTAAGAGCTTTTTAATAGATTTTTTTTGATCATATTGGTAAATCAGGCCATCCATTTATTTTACAGAAAGGACACAGTGCAAAACTATGTCTGCGGAAAAGGACCTAGGGGTGACAGTGGACGAGAAGCTGGATATGAGTCAGCAGTGTGCCCTTGTTGCCAAGAAGGCCAATGGCATTTTGGGATGTATAAGTAGGGGCATAGCGAGCAGATCGAGGGACGTGATCGTTCCCCTCTATTCGACATTGGTGAGGCCTCATCTGGAGTACTGTGTCCAGTTTTGGGCCCCACACTTCAAGAAGGATGTGGATAAATTGGAGAGAGTCCAGCGAAGGGCAACAAAAATGATTAGGGGTCTGGAACACATGAGTTATGAGGAGAGGCTGAGGGAGCTGGGATTGTTTAGCCTGCAGAAGAGAAGAATGAGGGGGGATTTGATAGCTGCTTTCAACTACCTGAAAGGGGGTTCCAAAGAGGATGGCTCTAGACTGTTCTCAATGGTAGCAGATGACAGAACAAGGAGTAATGGTCTCAAGTTGCAGTGCAGGAGGTTTAGATTGGATATTAGGAAAAACTTTTTCACTAAGAGGGTGGTGAAACACTGGAATGCGTTACCTAGGGAGGTGGTAGAATCTCCTTCCTTAGAGGTTTTTAAGGTCAGGCTTGATAAAGCCCTGGCTGGGATGATTTAACTGGGAATTGGTCCTGCTTCGAGCAGGGGGTTGGACTAGATGATCTTCTGGGGTCCCTTCCAACCCTGATATTCTATGATTCTATGATTCTATTAAAGCCATGTGGACAATATTATTCCACCTCCTTTTCCTCTGAAATTCTGTTGTGGAATTTAATGAATAATTGAAATAATGTCTTCAAAAGTCAGTAGGAACTGAGCACCTAATTCCCTTGGGTACTTTTGTAAATCCTGCACTTCCTGTTGACTTTTGTGAGGTCAGGATTTGGTCCATTGTGAGCTTCCATTTGAGAACTTGTGCTTCCTTAAGGACAAGGTTGCAGAAGAACCCACTACCCATTGCTAGGTCTCCCAGATGCTATTGTAATGGAACAGCCCTGTGCCATGTTTCTGCTCACCTGTCATGTGGAATGAGTGGGTTAGTAGCTCTTCCTAACCTCAGAAACTCAATGGATTTTTTTTGTTTGTTTTTTGTTTGTTTTTTTGGAATGAGACTGCTTTTTAGTATTAATTTTTCATAAATTAAAGCTGAATGAATCTCAGAAAGTTCAGTTCAGATCAGCACTCAGAACTCTGGATGCTCATCTGGACAATCTGAAGCTCTGGACCTTGTAAAATTGGCTTTGAGTTACAGAAAGAGCAGGTTCCTTGTACAATTTCTCTGACTCTCTGCTGGCATTTGGCCACGTTTTGGGAGTTGCTGAGCACTCTCAACTCACATTAAAATCAGCGGGTGTGGAGGGTGCTTATCTCCACTCTGGATGATCAGAAATAGACCAGAAGAACAATCAAGCTTATGGAACTCTGGATTCTGCTTCTGGTCATGACTGAACCCAAGAAATGCAAAGAATATAATTCTATAGTTGTGTCCTGAAAGGTGGCCATACTGCTAAGGGAAACTATGAGGCCAAATTCTGCCCTGAAGTACAGGTGACTCTGGTATTATTTTGTGACATTGCTGTAATCCACTGCCATAATTATAGAGTGAAATTCTATGGCCTGTCTTATGTAGGAATTAAAACCAGTGATCAAAATGGTCCCTTCTGACCTTAAAATCTACGAACCTACGTAATACTTATTTTTATGAAGGAACCACACTGGACCAGTGTATGCAGTAGTGATGCATGGGCATTTCTTGCATATTTGGAGTAGAGTGTCTCAGAAACAATGGCGGCAGTCCCTATAGATAACCGTGTAGTGCTCTGGTTGTGTGGTCCATCATGCACCTTGCTTAGTGTAATCAACACTTTGTGTCCTTTGCAGCCCGGCCCAGATTCACGCAACCTGCCAAGATGAGACGGAGGGTGATTGCACGGCCTGTAGGAAGCTCAGTCCGCCTGAAGTGTGTTGCCAGTGGAAACCCTAGGCCTGACATCACCTGGCTGAAGGACAATAAGCCCCTCACACCTCAGGAGATTGGGGAGAACAAGAAGAAGAAGTGGACATTGAATTTGAAGAGCTTAAAGCCTGAGGACAGTGGGAAATACACGTGCCGAGTGTTTAACAAAGTTGGAGAAATCAATGCAACATATAAAGTTGAAGTAATCCGTAAGTGCTGCCTCTGGGCTGAGTGGGTTATTAGGAAAGGGCTTTTACAAGTGCGCTGACTTGAATAAATAGAACATTGTACCAAGAGCTGTGTGCAATGCCAGAAACTGAATTCCCAGATTACACTAAACTGGGAGGTGTTGCAAACTTCAGCGCAGACAGAGAAACAATTCTTCAGAGTCTCTAATAGAGAGGTCAGAAACATGGGCAGGAAATAATAAAATGTGATACATCCTGATAAATGCAGGTTAGTATGTCTGGTGAGAGCAACTCCCAGAGTAGCAGGGAGGTACTCGGGAAAAACTACTATCTAGAGAGAGAACTAATGGTGACAGTGATCACCCCGGTATGTGTGCTCATAAGGTGATGTACCTGCCAAAAAAGTTAAGTGCGATTTCAGACTACAGACCAGAGAGTCCCACTTTTAGGGTCTAAGAGCCATTGGGAGTTGTTCTATTGACTTCATTGTGGGTTGGATAAAGCCTTTAATGTGTCTGAATAAAAATAGTTTAGGGTGGCTACTCAGAGATAATGGGATGCAGTGAATCAGTGGAAAAATTAGGACGGATATCAGAGAAAAGCATTCTGTTGAGTCATAGAGCAGTCTCCCAAGGAAAGTGATAAAAGTCCCATCACTAGAGTAATTAAAAATTAACAAGACAAAGCATTTAGGCCCAGATTTTTAAAGGTATTTAGGAACCTAAAGTTACAGATAGAAGCCTACTGGAATTTTCAGAAGTGCCTAGATGCCTGACTCTGAGGCACTGAATTCAGGCACCCATTGGGAGTTAGGCGCCTAGGCACTTTGAAAATCCCACGGGGCATCTATCTTGCATCTTTAGCACCTGAATACCTCTATAAATCTGGACCTTAGGGCACATGCTATAGGGGATTGTCCTGCTGTGGCAGTGGGATGAACTAGATTGCTGTCCTCTGTATGTAACCCGATAGAGGATTCTGTGGCTCTAATTTCCTGTCTTACTATTTTTGAAAATAATTATACTGGAGAAGCTACTCAGATCAAGTGAGGAAGAGCTTCTATTCCTTGGTTTATGCTATGTTTATGATAGCCTAGTATGGTGCCATGCAAATGATTATGATGCTGCAAGCTCAAGAAAGAGGAGGAGAAAGGCTGTGAGAGGGGAGATCATAGAATCATAGAATATCAGGGTTGGAAGGGACCTCAGGAGGTCATCTAGTCCAACCCCCTGCTCGAAAGCAGGACCAATCCCCAACTAAATCATCCCAGCCAGGGCTTTGTCAAGCCTTACCTTAAAAACCTCAAAGGAAGGAGATTCCACCACCTCCCTAGGTAATGCATTCCAGTGCTTCACCACCCTCCTAATGAAAAAGTTTTTCCTAATATCCAACCTAAACCTCCCCCACTGCAACTTGAGACCATTACTCCTCGTTCTGTCGTCTGCTACCACTGAGAACAGTCTAGATCCATCCTCTTTGGAACCCCCTTTCAGGTAGTTGAAAGCAGCTATCAAATCCACCCTCATTCTTCTCTTCCATAGACTAAACATCCCTAGTTCCCTCAGCCTCACCTCATAACTCATGTGTTCCAGTCCCCTAATCATTTTTGTTGCCCTCCGCTGGACTCTTTCCAATTTTTACACATCCTTCTTGTAGTGTTTGGTCCAAAACTGGACACAGTACTCCAGATGAGGCCTCACCAATGTCGAATAGAGGGGAACAATCACGTCCCTCGATCTGCTGGCAATGCCCCAACTTATACAGCCCAAAATGCCATTAGCCTTCTTGGCAACAAGGGCACACTGTTGACTCATATCCAGCTTCTCGTCCGCTGTAACCCCTAGTTCCTTTTCTGCAGAACTGCTGCCTAGCCATTCGGTCCCTAGTCTGTAGCAGTGCATGGGATTCTTCCGTCCGAAGTGCAGAACTCTGCACTTGTCTTTGTTGAACCTCATCAGATTTCTTTTGGCCCAATCCTCTAATTTGTCTAGGGCCCTCTGTATCCTATCCCTACCCCCAGCGTATCTACCTCTCCTCCCAATTTAGTGTTATCTGCAAACTTGCTGAGGGTGCAGTCCACACCATCCTCCAGATCATTAATGAAGATATTGAACAAAACTGACCCCAGGTTTGACCCTTAGGGCACTCCACCTGATACTGGCTGCCAACTAGACATGGAGCCATTGATCACTACCCGTTGAGCCCGACAATCTAGCCAGCTTTCTATCCACCTTATAGTCTATTCATCCAGCCCATACTTCTTTAACTTGCTGGCAAGAATACTGTGGGAGATGGTATCAAAAGCTTTGCTAAAGTCAAGGAACAACACGTCCACTGCTGTCCCCTCATCCACAGAGCCAGTTATCTCTTCATAGAAGGCAATTAGATTAGTCAGGCATGACTTGCCCTTGGTGATTCCATACTGACTGTTCCTGATCACTTTCCTCTCCTCTAAGTGCTTCACAATTGATTTCTTGAGGACCTGCTCCATGATTTTTCCAGGGACTGAGGTGAGGCTGACTGGCCTGTAGTTCCCCGGATCCTCCTTCTTCCCTTTTTTATAGATGGGCACTACATTAGCCTTTTCCCAGTCATCCGGGACCTCCCCCGATCACCATGAGTTTTCAAAGATAATGGCCAATGGCTCTGCAATCACATCCACCAACTCCTTTAGCACTCTCGGATACAGCGCATCCGGCCCCATGGACCTGTGCTAGTCCAGCTTTTCTAAATAGTCCCAAACCACTTCTTTCTCCACAGAGTGCTGGTCACCTCCTCCCCATGCTGTACTGTCCAGTTCAGTAGTCTGGGAGCTGACCTTGTTTGTGAAGACAGAGGCAAAAAAAGCATTGAGTACATTAGTTTTTTCCACGTCCTCTGTCACCAGGTTGCCTCCCTCATTCAGTAAGGGGCCCACACTTTCCTTGACTTTCTTCTTGTTGCTAACATACCTGAAGAAACCCTTCTTGTTACTTTTAACATCTCTTGCTAGCTGCAACTCCAGGTGTGATTTGGCCTTCCTGATTTCACTCTTGCATGCCTGAGCAATATTTTTATACTCTTCTCTGGTCATGTGTCCAATCTTCCACTTCTTGTAAGCTTCTTTTTTGTGTTTAAGATGAGCAAGGATTTCACTGTTAAGCCAAGCTGGTCGCCTGCCATATTTACTATTCTTTCTACACATCAGGATGGTTTATTCCTGTAACCTCACTAAGGATCAAATATAGTCAGGAGCAGGAGCACGGAAGACCATAAAGCAACACATGACACAGAGAAAGCATGTTCTTCATGTGTTAGTGCATGTGTTTTAGCATGATCAAGTTTATCCCGGTGTGAAATCTGCTCTCTGATAACTCCCTTTCTCTAGAATAACAGGAATTAAAAGCACATGTGGGGAGTTGTGTTGTGCTCCGAATGCACAAACCTGCTGGACATCTGGTATCAATAAAAATGCAGCTGTGTGGAGACGGTAAAAACATGTGTTTACACTAAAACCAGGAGCAGAGACAGGGAAATGAATCAAGTCCCATCCTAATGTCAGTTGTGGCATTTTCACTTCATCAAAACCAGACGGCACCAGGAACAAACCCTTTTCTGTGTCAGAGAGTAGTCCCCGTTTATCTTGGTTTTTATCAACCTACAGATATATGTAACCCTTGTTGTCATTAGCGTTTTCTGGCTAGGAACAAAAACAGTGACCAAAGGGGCAATAGAACCAAAGCGATAAGAGTATTACAGCATTTTCACAGGCTTCCTCCTATTTTAATAACATGCCATGGGCGTTTCAGGTTTTATTAAATTTCCTTCCTTAAATCTTCCCCAAGCCTCCACTTCTCAGTCTCACTTGCTTATCTGAGTCTAGGTCTTTCCAGCTTCGATCCCTGCTGGTGTGTTCCTCATGTACGATCTCTTAAGAATATGTGACATTTCTGCCACGCTGGCCCACGTTCCCTGGGGTCTCGGTGCCGATAGCCTCCTGTACATCCTATCCTGATTCATCAAAGTATGGAACATTGTTCCTTCCTCCCACCTCAATGCCTGCCCGGTGATACTGGGAACTGGTTCTTTACACACCCAGCCCAAGGGTGGTTTCCATTAAAAGGTCAGCATTTGCCAGCCGTTGCCACACACTGATATCTGAGACAACAGTGTCTCCCTGCACCTAGACGAGGGAAATCTGTGGTACTTCAGATACCTCTCTCCAGAAACGGGTGGTAAATACTGACTTTCAGATGTGAGCATTGGAATCTATTCAGCACCCTTGCAATAATGGATACACTTTTCTTTCACAGTGCCTGACAAAATGGGGTCCCTGCCTGAGGCCGCTGAGTTTAGTAATAATAAATAATAATAGGCTGGTCTGGTGAGCTAGTCTTAATGCTCTTTGAGAACCCTGGGTTTGATTTTCTATCATGGTATCTTGCTTCCCCGGCCAGCAGGGGAATCTTGGAGTGCTGCTGAGATGAGATGGTCAGAGGGCAGAGAAGGCTTCCCTGCTGACTAGGGAAGCAAGACGGCTGTGGAGTTCTCCTCAGAAAACGGCACGGGAAGTGGTGGCTTCTCCATGCTTAGCACATTTGCGATTAGACTAGACGAAATAAGAGTTTATGCAGGTGGAAGTGAAGTACTTGACTAAGGAGGTCTTTCCCACCCCTAACACCTATGGGCTTAAAACTTGGTGTGTAAGCCTCCCTGAGCCAGGAAAGTGGGGGAAAGATGGAGGACTTCCCATCAGCATCAGGTTCCCACAGGCATTCTGCCAGCCCCAGTGATGAAGCACTCCTCCAAGTGGACTTCAGGAAGCATGTCCCTGAGTAGCCATTGCTGCCCCCATTAACAGGATGCAGCCTGCACTCCCCACCATCAGCTGGCTAGTGCAGAAAGTGGAGTGGCCTTGTCCCGTCTTCTTTGGTAAGTCTAGGGGGCTTTTGGAGAGACAGGGATTGCCCTGTGCAAGGAGAGGGAATGTTCCTTTCCCTCTCTTGTCGTACCCACACTGGGCTAGCAACAGCCTGGACCTGTGACTCTCCTGTTGACTCATAATAGGTCCCCGTGGCTAAAGCACACAATATCCTACAGATCTAGCAGGGAACATGCAGGACTGCCCCATGGAAACATCCTAAGATTATATATAACTGCCACCCTAGCAGGAAGCTAGCCTGGTGATGCTATGGGCCAGCATCACGATTAATGCCAGGAGCACTTTTGCCATAACAGTCAGTTTAGGTTGCCACCCTTGCTACACTATCCTGCAGGGTTTCCTGAATTTCTTTCTGGAATAATGACAGGAAAGTGTCGGTGTGGTTTGCCCTTTTTCATCCTGGCTCAGGACACTTACCTGCCCTGTTCCAGATTCAGAGAATAACGCAGCAGGTGTTATGCCCCTGAGGGTCAAAGTGCACCAGTAAGCACAGGCCTGTGCCGGGGCAGTGCAGAACTGCACTGTGCCCCTGCAGCAGACATGCCAAACCCACGAAAAAAATGCAGAAATTGGGGTTTGGTTTTTTTTTTTTTTGCTTAATTGGCTTGTGAGTTGTTTGTTGGCTAGTTTTTGGCTTGTTGCTTGTTTGGCTTGTAGCTTGTTGCTTCTTTTTTTGATCAGCTCCCGGCAAGCAGGGGTAAGGGGAGGCAAGCAGGGACTAGTTGGGGAGAGAGTCAGGGGTGCACAGCGGGCCCACTGCAATCCCAGATTGCCCACTGGGCGGATCTAGTCACATAGAGTATTGGGGTTCTTAGGGATTGGCTTGGTTTGGCCTTGTTTTGAAATGGGATTAGCTTGATTTTTGGCTTCTTGTGAAAGTTGGGGTGCTTATTTACCATGTGAAAGTTGGCAACTGTGCCCTGCGGGAGAGCTCTGGGAAATGCTTCTCCTAAGGAGGTGCAATCCATGCTCAAGATGCAGTCAGGACAGCAGCTGCTGCAGCACCCCTTCTGAGCATGCAACCTGCCTTCACCTCTGTGGCCATTCAGCTACACTAGCCAGTCTCAGCAATGGGGTATGTGGCCCATCCTCCTCCTTGACTCTCCTTTTTGGGATCACCAGCACCCTGAGGGGTAGTAGCAGGGGACAGTTCTTGCACTCAAGAGAGCACAGGGACTTCAAAAGGGCCAGAACCTTGAATGGATGGTACAGAGTAGGGGAAAGGCTGCTCAGTGTCTTCCCTTTTCCCCAACCCCCTCCATTACTGAACACTTGCAATATCTAGTCCTATGCATACCACCCGGGAAATGCAGCTTTATAAACTGGCCTTGTGTTACGGTTGAGTGACAGTTTAAAGTCCTCTTTAAAGCAGGCGGGAAACTAGTTAGTTAGGGTTGAACTGTGTGACTCCCCGTAACATTAGTGGGGCTTGGGTGGCTGAATACTGATGCCCCTAGCTCAGTAGGTAGCTGGGATAATGTGATCAGAGTAGAGATGGAAAATACCTTTGAGATGAGATTTCTGGGGCCTGATTCCTTAGCACTGACAGAGGGATTTGCAGCCTCTGTCTTTAAACAGTCCCCAATTGGATTGAGGAACACAATTTATTTTTCATCACGTGTTGTATTTGTTTTCAGAGAGGACTCGGTCCAAACCCATTCTCACAGGAACGCACCCTGTGAACACGACCGTGGACTATGGTGGGACCACATCGTTCCAGTGCAAGGTCCGTAGCGACGTCAAGCCCGTCATCCAGTGGCTGAAAAGGGTGGAGTACGGCACAGAGAACAAGTACAACTCCACCATTGACGTCGGGGGGCAGAAGTTTGTCGTGCTCCCCACCGGGGAGGTCTGGTCCCGTCCGGACGGCTCCTACTTAAACAAACTGATGATAACACGAGCCAAAGAGGAGGACGCTGGGATGTACATCTGCCTAGGGGCAAACACAATGGGATACAGCTTCCGCAGTGCTTTCCTCACAGTGTTGCCCGGTGAGTGTGGGTTGACTGGAACTTTCCTTCTAAACTGTCCTGGCCCAGCATGTTCTGCATTGCGGCATCATTGCAATCGCTGATCCAGATCCTCAGCTGGTATAAATCGCTTTCCTCCATTGACTCAGTGGAGCTTCACTGATTTACACAGCTTGGGATCTGGCGAGCTTTGGTGAGTGGCTAGATTATGCTGATTTTTCTACTGCCCGTGGTGTGCCTGAGTTGATCTCCTCCCTGAGCCTCCTTGTAGGTTGCTGCATAAATAACGGCTCCGGCAAGGTTAAATAACCGGGTTGAAAATTCCTGATCTGCTTTTGTGCTGGAGTAGGGCTGGGAAGTCGTATTGTGATGCCGTCTGTGCAACGCCCTGTAAAGTGAGCCCAGGCACTCAAAGGAGCTGAATGCCCCTTCCCTGCCTGTTTTTTTTTAATTGGTTTGTTGGTAAAAGGAAACAATGAAACAAGCCCATAAACTGAGAAGAATGAAAACAGGGTAAGGATCATGGCCAAAGGAGAAGAATGGGTGTGAAAGAGATTATGATAGGCTTGTTAATTTCTTATTTGATGAGTCCCTGGGAGCTCTTGTGCCGAGCTCAGAACTGCTTCCCTCTTTGCTCCTGCCCTGTGCTCTGCTCTGTGGCTGAGACCTGCAGTACAGGAGCTTTCTAGGGCTTCCAGTCTAACTTCTTCATTGTCCCTTTTGCCCTCTTTAAAGTGCGGTCCTGCCCCGAACAGTGGTTTTATAATCCAGAGTCTGCTGGCTTTAGTGACAAAAACAAATCGGCCTTGCTTTTCGTCCTCTCCGCCCTGCAGAGCCACTGCAGCTCAGAGAAGAGAGGAGAGGAAAAGAAGTAGTGTAAACGTGGTCCTTATTGTATACATTAAGCATTTAAAAAAAAAAAAAGATGTTTTTCTGGTGATTTTTTTGTTTGTTTTTCTGGTGATTTTTTTGTTTGTTTGTTTGTTTGTTTGTTTTTACTGAAATAACTAAAAAAACCCAAGCTCTACATGTACTATTTCAGACTAACACTAGATTTAGACCTCAATGAAAGAAAAAAAGTCATTGACATCTTTAAAGAAGTTTGGCTTGGAAAGAAAGTTATACACATTTGAAAATATTGTACAGTAGAGTATAAGATTAGGATTGCGAATTCACAAATGATCTCGTATGTGTCATCTCAGATTTTTATATGGCACCTTTCATCACATTATCTGAGCTCTGGTACCTTAGGGCCAAATGTTTAAAGTTATCTAGGTAGCTACAGCTGCAGATAACCCCCTAGCAGAATTTTCAAAAGCCCCTAGGCACCCAGGTCCCTATGGGAGTTAGGCACCTAGGTGCTTTTTGAAAACCCCACTGAGGACTCATCTGCCTTTTTAGGTGCCTAGATACCTTTCAAAATCTGGCCCTGAAAGCCCTGATTCAGCAAAGCAGCTCAGCTTTCAACATGTGCTTAAGTCCATCCCTATTCAGCACAGCACTTACACATGTGTAAATCCTATTGAAGACAATGGGATTAAGCACAGGTTTACAGTTCAGTACATGCTTAAGTGCTTTTATGACCAGGAATGGACACAGGCATGTGCCTAAATTAGGTAATTCAAAGTTGTGTTTCCTGCAGCACCACTAATTGAGCCCTGGATGCATATTATACAAAATCTACTATTATGCAAAGGGGGCCTAAACCCTGAAATTTGGGAGTGTGGATCTGATTCTGAACAGTGCCATTTCGGCCTGTCTCACTAGGGCTTAAATGGAACAACATGTTCATGAATGCAGGATGCTAGAGGTTTGTAAGAGGGATAATCAACTGCATTTCTTGACTATCTGCAGTTCAATTCTCGGTGGTGACGGTGCTGTAAAATTGAATATAAAAGTGCTGCACGCAGTGAGCTGCTCTGGTGAGAACAAAAACGTACGCCTCTGTCACTAAGGGCTCGATCCTGCTCCTGGGGCACTGTACAGATGCAGTGAATCAGGGCCTGAGCCATTAGTAGTGGGTCAGTGTTGAAGCGAATAGTAACCTCAGACATGGCAGAGGGCTTATATGGGATTCTTCTTACTTACCCGAAGCTGGGACTCCCTACCTTGGATTATCCTGAACAAGCACACACACTCAGTTCTGCAGTGCCTGGGAATCCCACACGAAGTCCTAGTCCTCCCTTGTCTCAGCAGAGCACCAAGAGGTGCTGCAGGAGGGATGCTAGTTAACCTGCCTCTTCCTGTCCCAAACTTGCCCTCCTGCCCACATAAGAGACCACTCCTGCAAAGTACCTCTCCTGCATGGTCCCTAGCCTGAGTATTGCTGAGTGTGTATTAGCTACAGGAAGATGGATTGATACTAGAGAAGGATATTTAAGACTTAATGAACAGAGAGACGTGTCTGGCAGAGGCCAATATGGGACAGGCCTCTGCTCCGCGTAACCAGATCATGCAGGTCCAATTGCTGGGCAGCTGACATGGCCTGCGTTTCATCCTCTGGTCTGGACAGAGAAGCCAGCTCCATCTCTGAGCGCTGGGGCTGAGAGACCATCTGTTGGACTGGCTCTGAAGAGGACACTAGAACTGGGGAACTAAAGCATAATAAATTATTGATAAAAAACCTTTTAGGGTTCCCTGCATCTTAAACAAAAGAAATTGATTTGTTTGTCCTTTCAGTGCTTTTCAAAGGAGAAACAGCAGCAAAACGTTATGATGTTGGCAGTGTGTCCCCCCCTTGTATTTGGCATGGCTGGGGTTGTCAGACAGACTATACAAAAGCCAGCCTTAGCTTGACATCTGTTTTGAATTCTCCTCTCCTGGTTTTAATTAACTCTTTCGATTTCTCCCTTTCCCTCTTGTAACACACTCTCTCTCTCTCTCTCTCATGCAAACCTGATGTCCAGATCCCAAGCCACCCAGCGCCCCTGTGGCCCCGTCCTCCGCTAGCAGCCTGCCGTGGCCGGTGATCATCGGGATCCCCGCTGGAGCAGTCTTCATCTTCGGGACGATCCTCCTGTGGCTCTGCCAGGCCAAAAAGAAGCCCTGCTCTCCCCCAACTGCTGCTCCCATGCACAGACCGCAGGCCAGAGACAGGATCTGTGTCTCCCAGGGTCCTGACAAGGACTGCATCTCCTCCATAAACTATGAGGAATACGTAGCCCACCAGCAGCATTTGCTATCCCAAGGGCCTGCGTTGGCCCCAGCCATGGCATCAAAAATGTACCCAAAGATTTACACAGACATCCACACTCACACGCACTCACATGTGGAAGGCAAAGTTCACCAGCATCAGCACATTCATTATCAGTGTTAAAGGGCAGCCACAGACCGTAGCTTATTGGTGCTTTTTTTCTCATGGTACCTCAGAACAGACTGCTTCGAGTCAGCTAACACTGCCGGCAAAAGGCAAAGTGGACGGAGGAGGGAGAGAGAGAGAGAAAGAGATTTTTTTTTTGTTATTATTATTACCATTAGGATGTAGATGAGGAATAATGAAGGAATTCCCGATCTCAGCACAAAGGCGGCCATCTAAAACAATGGAAACTTCTTGTATGTCTAAATCAAGATGGCAACAGATAAGGCAGGAAGCTGTGACATGAAACACCACCGACCCTGTTGCATTGCGAAGCAGAGGAAGAAGAAGAGGAGAACACGATGGTATTGCAGTTGATATTGCAGTTCCTGCCTCTAGCACATGCCATCTGTTTTGGTGCAAGGCCCATCAGACGTCTTACCCTTGGCAATGTACAGAAGAGCCCTTTATCTCAGAGTGGCTGAAGCTAGGAAGTACCTGAGGTATGGTGCCAAAGCACCAGGAGACTGTAATCAATTGAAACATTCAATTGCCCAATTTCAAACGAAAACATAAGCAGAAGAGTTTCTGGAAAACACATTTCTATTTATGAAGTGAAACTCCACATGCATCTCGCCAGCAGTAACTTTGCCTGACATTTGGTGATAACTTAGCTGGCTGTTTCCATTTCTGCAAATCAAGGGTATTGTGTTTTCCCCAAGGGGGCACTGCTTGAAATCTTTAAAAATGTTCAACTCACCCCAATGCTATGACTCAGTGCCACTGCCAGGAAGAAGGAAGGACATTGTACAATGCTACTTTATATTTATATTTAAGAAATAATAATTAATAATAACTGAACTGCTGAAGGTCAAGAAAAGAAAACATGCTGCCCTTTTCTGATGCCGCTAGCTGTGATTCTCAATCAGATCTTCATGGCTTACAGTGACAAGCTACTGGATTAACTGTGTCAGTGAAAAATAAATGAACAAGTAAAAATAAAGAGAGAGAAAAGAGAGAAAATAATTGTTTATGGAAGAATGAATTTGCTAAATATGCACCTAGGGTTGTGTGTGGTTTTTCTTTCCAGATAATGTTTTGCAGTTGATTCAAACAATCTCATTTCAGTTTCATTTAAAACAACAAAAGAAAGAAAGAAAGAAAGAAAGAAAGAAAGAAAGAAAGAAAGAAAGAAAGAAAGAAAGAAAGAAAGAAAGAAAACGTATTAAATACCTATATGGACTAGAAATGAATTCAATCACAAATATAAAACCTTTGTAATTCTATATAGAGTTTAAACAGAAGTCATGTATATTTAATTTATTTTGTTAAACAAGAAAAAAAGTATGATATTTTCCTCAAAACAGGCATTTCTATACGTATTTTTGATCAAAGAAACTAAAGATGAATTGTGGGTTTTTTCCAGGTTCTTATAGGTGCCATGCTCCAACTATAAGCAATGTAACGTATAACAGTACTTTATTTAACCAAATTGAAAGTCATATGTTTGTATGCATTTTTACAATAGCCATGTGTAATTGTTCTAGCAGCATCTCTGGCACTACGGGCACCATCACTTCCAACCGAAACTGCTATCGTGTGCTGTTTATAACCTGTTCGGAAAGTTTTGCTGCGGACTGATCACTGCCTCTACACCCCATGTTATCCTGGCCTCATTAATGAAGAGCGCAGAGCACAAGAAAACTTGTTCCACCGTTCATTTAAAAACGTGGTTTGATTTTTTTTGGTTAACATTACAAGACATGAACCGGAGACCTGTGATAAAATAATACCTTTTAAAAAAAAGGTTTTAAAAGTGAAATGTTCCTAGGCGTGAGCCCATCAGGTAGACTTCTGCCTCTGAGTGTTTGGGGGTGGGGGGGCGGATTGTAAGTCTGAACAAATTATTTGATCCATAAAAGCAGCTTCTGAGCATAAAACATTCAATAGAGATGAAATTCACCACAGCAAGGGGAACCTGCACAAGGCCCTCTGTACCACTTAAGCCCCCTGTTAAGGGCTTATGGCTCAATCCTGCAAGGGGCCAAGTACTCTGGCCTTGAGCCACCAAAGCACGTAACTTCGCAAACATAGGGCCTTGTGCGCTGACGTTATTTTCCATTGGCTTCAGTATCAGTCAGATCAGACACATTGAGGTTAATGGGAATAGTCAGATGCTTAAAAATCAGCACCGTTTTAAATGCTTTGCTGGTCAGGGCCAGAGAGCTCAGCACCTGACTGGCTGGAGCTTGTAAGTGGTGTGTAGGGCCTTCTGCACTGGTGTGAATTTCACCCACAGGCTCTGGAATAACACAGCAAGGGGTGTATTGTACATTTGTTCCTTGTGTTGCAATCCTATTGGTTGTAATGGAAGTGGAATGAGTGCAGATTATTATACCCCTTATTGTGCGCTTACTATAGATGGTCTATCACGTCAAACCTTCACTCCATTAGAGGGGGACCCAGACCAGCTTTGATTCCATAAGGCCATAAAGTTAGTTACTAAATTCTGATCTTGGATGCTGGTGCACAGCTCCCTTTGGTTTCAGTGAGCGTCATGAATGAGCATCCATGTGCATAACTGGTGTGTTGTAAGTACTGATTTAACAAAGATTTGCTAATGGCTGCAGTTTACTGAGTGAGCTATGCACACATAGAAAAGTCTATGCACAGTTTCTATGTACATCAACTATGTTATAAGAAGTTAGGAAACTGGTATTTCATGAGAGGCTGTAAGGGCTGTAGCAGAAATGTCACCATCCATTGTGTCTACCTCTCATACAAGTCTATGAGAAGTTTGGTATTTTTATTACCATAACCTGCACAAAGCTAATGCACATTGAAGCAATGTTAAGGGCATGACACAAATCCAAATTCAGAGATAAGGGGGATAGTTCTTCCAACACTTTTTGTGCTGGGGTGCTGTAGGCAGGGACCGCAGGGTGTTACATGCCAAACATGCTGCAATAGCTTTACCGCTCTTGCTTTAAAAGCACCCTCCTGTGTGGCCCCACTTTGAGTGAATCACAAGAGACTGCCACATGGCATTGCCAAGATGACAGCAGGATCTCGGACATGTACAGCTAGATTACTTTTAACTCAAAAATGACAATGTGTTTAGCATAGGTCATTGTGTTCCATCCCAAGTAGCGTTCTTACTCGCCATTGACCCTCTCTGCCCCCTTTCATCCTGGAGCTTCAGAATCTTCTTTAATGGAATGAAAACTTTAAAATGTTGCCAGTTGGTCCAGATGGAGGGATTACCTTTTCCATCTTGGAAACAGACCTTCACCAAGTGCCCTTCAAAGCTCCAGTCTTTAAAATGCGAGTCATATGTGTAGTTGTGAGGAGGGTCGTAACAGGAAAAAAATTAAGGAGGTCACAGTTAGTTCACCACCACCACTAAGATATTGGTTGTGCAGAAGCCAAGAACAATTGTGGTTCCTGGCCAAGATTTTGAGAAGGCACAAATGATTTTGCGTGCCCAACTTGAGATATCTTAAAGGTCCTGATTTTCACAAAGTGCTGAGCTCCTGCCCTCTGAACATCAGCCTCCTTTAAAGGCCCTCGGGTTGGATAATCAAAAATGGCGGCACCCCGAACCACTAGTCACTTTTGAAAATGATGGCCAAAGTTGTGCTTATCTGGGGATAAGGTCTGTGTGAGACTGGTGCCACTAGCAATGTAAGCTCCCTCAGGTCGGGTCGGGAGGACATAGGTATGGCCATAGCCCATCCCCATTCAACTTGGGAAGTGAATACATGTCGCCACCAACTCCCATATCCCTCCCTTCCAAAGGGGTAGGTGAAATTCACCCCCATGCAGAAGGCCAGCACAAAACCTCTTAAGGCCATCTTAAACCATGAAAATAGGGCTTGAATGGGATTTAAGCTTTGCGATGGCTCTGTACACATGGGTGAACTTCACCCTTTAGACAGTGTTTTGCCTCCATGAGGCAATGTGCCTCCTTGAGCTCTTGATGGGGCTGACTCTGTTCCACCCTAACGTGGGACATTCATATGCAGGGCTGTATTGTGCCTTACAGGAAACACAAAGCTTTCCTATGTCTAAATAAGTTCAGTGAGAGTCTGCTCTTAGTCACCCAGATGTGAACCCATTTTTCCCCCAGTGAGACAGAATGTGGCCTGACCTTTTTGAAATAAATAGAGAACATTTTAAAAGAACGGTGGACTTGCTAAAAGCTACCCACCACTGACCCTACTTTGAATTCAAGAGCTTGATATATATACATACACATCAGTCTATGGCATTGAAAGTGGGCCTCACTTTTAAAGGCACAAAACTTGAGGATCAAAAGAAAATTCAGGCTTAATATTGAACATCCTTGTTATTTTGTTTGTGTGGCAAACCGAACATGGCCTTGAATGTCATTTTCTTGTGTCTTTAAACTTTGTATTGACAATCTTTGTACAGTCAGCCCTTTTAAGGTGAAAGCTTTATCAGACTTTACAAATAAAAAGTGTGATGTCATTTTCAAGCAGTGGGAAAATAAGCTAATTAAAGATATTGGAAGGAGACGCAATGGCCTGTGTGTGTTTAATGAAAGAGATGGAGGCGTAAAAGCATGAATTTGTAACTACCGTGTGGGTATTAGCATAAAATGGAGTTTTACAAACTTAATATGCATATAGAAATATACCATTTATTTATATGCGTATGTCTGTACATATGCGCTCATATACAGGGAATATATGATGGCGTGATGTGGTATAAAAGTTTTATCACAAAACAAGTGCTAATAAAATCTTTACACCACACCACAGTTTGCTGTATTCTGTATATGCAACATATTTAACACAAACATTGTTTTACAAATGTGTCAGAGTTTTAAAAAAATGTATAGGAACTTTTTTTTTTTTAACCCCTTTGCGTAAAGCCAGGTACCATGAGTCCAGCTGTGCACAAGAACTGTTACACAAGAACTGCTTCAGCCTCTGAAAAGGGGGCTAATTAGCTTTCATGTACAGAAAAATAACAGGGGTGAAATTCTGGGCCTGTTGAAGTCAATGGCAAATCTCCCACTGATTTCAGCTGAGCCAGGGTTTAACCCCCTGACGCCGAAGTGTGATACCTCCAGTCCGGCAAAGGCTAGAAGTAAATGCTGGGTCCCACTGGGAAGCTGGCTCATGCAATATCAAACTTTAAAATTGACATTTTTAGGTATAGAAAAACTGTCAATGGCCCAGGACTGAATCTTGGTTTGGCCCAGACCTTGGCCCTGGTAATTGTGCGGGGAAATTGCACACTTGGGAAGAGAAAAGGGAAAGTGTCTCTGACAGGTTTATTATTTTGGTTGGTTGATGTTGTTCATAGGTTTGGAATATTAGAAAAAAGCATCAAGGGAGTTGAATTAATGGGCAGAAGGCGGGTAAGGTGGTCAAAGGTGAATGATAAACATATGACTTTGTAACTTATAACATGGGTGTCACTCCATATAGGTGTAGGGTCTGGAGGAGCATTTATGCTTCTAAATACTTTTGAAGTCAATGAAAGTCCCATAAATGGGGGCTGTTCCAGCTCTCATTGATGCCAGTGGAAAGACTCCCATTGACTTCACTGGGAGCTGAATCAGACTCGTGGAGTGATTGAAAGGAGTGGGTCCTTAACTTTAAGCTCTTTGTGCCAACTTTTCTGGCTGGCCCATGAGGGAGAAGGACATAACAACCTGTGGCCAAGACCGAAGCCGGGCAAATTCAAGTTAGAAATAAAGCATGCATATTAACAACGAGAGTGATTAAACTCTGAAACAAACTACCAAGTGAAGTGGTGGGTTCTTCATTTCTTCATGTCTTCAGATCAAGACTGGATGCCTTTCTGGGAGATATACTTTAGTCAAACACAAATTGCTGTTCAGCTGTGACCGCAGTGTCTAGACAGCAGATGATAAAGAGAAACAGTGCAAAGAAAGACCAGGTGCTTAGAATACAGCAAACACCATCACTGGTGTGACAGCCACTGGCAGAATGAGGACGGGAACATGGGACAAGTATTGACAACAAGAAGATGGAGGCGAGAGAGGTTTTGGTTACCTTCCTCCTTGGAGCATCAGAGCACTTGGAGATGAGCAGCTGTTAGAACACCCAGTCACCCATACAACCCCATTGGCCTCAGCTGTATATGTCTAA